ATATGTGCTCATATTATTGTCTACACTGACATAGGCATTTTCTCTCTTTACTCATTGTTCCTTCTCAGTCTTCTTTTCTGTACTCAAACTGTTCATGCACATTATCTCCAAGGATTCTAGACTTAGCTTGTTCAGTTTCTCGTATTGTACTTCCTCTGGGCAGCCTCATTCAAGCCCATGACCTTTTTTTGCAGGTCATTCCTTCACTACTCTCCTGAAGCTGGAACTTTTGAAAATCTCATGTCATTACCTTTTCATTCATTTTTTCGTCCACTCAACAAATATTTATTGAGTGCCTCTGAAACATGTCTAAAACCATCAAATTACCTGTCTTCATCCCCACCTCCATCTGCATTTTGTCCTGTCATTTCTCTGGATAAATGACATCTCGATCACTACACCTGAATGAGGATCTTAGAAGTCATCTTCAGCCCGCTCAGCTAGACATCTAATCAGCCACTGAGTCATTATGGCAGTATACATATGCCCACTTTTCTCTCAAGAAATTAGAAGCTAGCTTATTTCTTAGGGGCAGAAGCTAATTCCAATTCTCTTTGCAATCTCCCAAAGCAGTTTAGTGTAGTTTCTAGGACTGAGTGGAACGGCATAAATATTGTTGAATTATACTGAGTTGAAATCATTCATGAAGTGATTGACAGTTATGGCAAGGATCTTAGAAGACATATCTCATTCTTTGGCAAAAATGCAAATGCACTCAGTTACCAATTAAAATTAAATTCAATGAAATTTTACAATTAAAATTCCACAGAAATGTGGAGAAAAATTATGTAATGGGCCTAAGAACATTAATTTTGAAGATGGAAGTAGAATTGTTCAGAGAGAAGACTATCCCTTGTTTAGCAAATGACCTTGGATATGAAAGAAGAAATCCCCAACGATGAATTGCCTTGTATATGAAAAGTATCAAAAATTGAAGACTGGCAGCCAGAAAGGAAAAGAGAGGAAGAGAAAGAAGAGCTAAGGGAAAGGAAGTGAGGGGGTGATATCGTCAGGGCCCTCCACAAAGAGAGCCGGCAAGTAGTTAGGAATGACTGAGTGAGTTTTAAACACAAAGGTGCCCAATATTTGGTTTTACATCATTGGCTGTGCTGTGCTGTGCTGTGATTTTATATAAGCCCTATCGTTCTCTCCTTTATTTTAGAAGCTCAGTAAAAGTCTGCTATGTAGTTCCCTAAGTCAATGGGTGTGGCAGCTGTGGAGTATGCCGCTAAGGTCTCTCTTCCGGAGAATCAGGCTCCAGCTGCTGCACCTTTGGGACACACAACAATGTTCACGCCAAGGCCACCGCCTCCCTGGGCTGCCCCAGCCAGTGACTGAACACAGCAGAGACTATGACTGGGCTATTCCTGCCCACTGCAGGACTCCTCCAATGGTGATCTTTGCTCTCAGTCTCCCCATCTGCCTGCTCAGGACTTCCTCAGAGCTGCGCTGTGTCCTAAAGGCTCTTCCTACCAATCGTCTTCCTTCCTTCCCTTTCTCTCTTCACAGGTGTCAGACCTGGATCATGCCTGAGGTTTCCCCTACCTACTCCTGCCCTCTCTCTCTTTCTCTCCTCTTTATCCTTCAGAAGCATTTTCCTCAAGAAATCTCTTGCATTTCTAATTCTGTCTTGGTGACTGAATCTCAGAGGACCTGAACTGGCACAGTGGGATGTTTTCCTTGGGAATGGGGCCTGGGGAGTGGAAGAATTGGAGCTGTTTCCATGGTGGGGTAACATGGTGTAGAAAAGGAACAGTGCAGACAGGAGGTGAGGGGCTGAGTGGGGATGGAGAATTTAGCAGAAGCAGGAAGCTGGAGTCTGGAGGTGACTAGAAGAAGAATAACCTTCTGGGAATATCTAGAGATTTGAAGAGAGATGCTGGGTTTCCCATTTCATTTTTACCTTAGAGGATAAGGTAGCCCCAGCAGCTGGAGGACTTTCCAGGATAACCAGGCATCTTGCTGTGAGAGAGCAGGTGCAAAGCCAGAAGCTCACAATGTGCTTTGTAAAGGGAGACCTGCAGCCCGAAGGGAGTGGAGGGTGGTCCGAGAGTTCGTCATTGTTCCTGCAGCACCTACCTCAGGGCTCTGCAAAGAAGAAGCTGGTGAGACTTGCTGAATGAACAAAACCTGCTGCTCTAAGGGAGTACACATTTCCTGATCCGGATGAATTACATCAGCTACCCAATGAACTTGTGAATGATGTCACCAAATCCCAGTTAGTGACCATTAAGAAATTTAGAAGGAAAGGGCTATGAACTGGGAATTGAACATTGTCAGTGGGGTATTCCACATGAAACCAGGATGACCTTCTTTGTTGACTCAAAGTATATTTTTTTTCCAAAGGGAGTTCATTTTAAAGGAGTTTATTTCACACTCACACTTCTGCACACTTTCTATTAAATAATGTGGAGCTGAAATATTTACAATCATCTCTTGCCTACTCCCAGGCTCTCTCTCCCTTCTGGCACCCAGTGCCGAGTTGCTGCCTGCAGACACAGATGTGGATACTGAACTTGGCCCTTCCCTAACCCCCCAGGTTCCTGGGCAAGACAGCCAGTGGTCCCTGGGAATCTCCTAGCCCCAACCACTCTGTTCTTTTCTGCCACAGTATTATCACTCTTACTTTTTCGGGGGGAATTTTATTCTATTTTATTTTTTATACAGCAGGTTCTTAATTAGTTATCTATTTTATACATGTTAGTGTATATACATCAATCCTAATCTCCCAGTTCATCCCCACCCCACCCCCCCGCTTTCCCCCCTTGGCATCCATATGTTTGTTCTCTACGTCTGTGTCTCTATTTCTGCCTTGCACACCGGTTCATCTGTACCATTTTCTTAGGTTCCCCATACATGCCTTAATATAGGATATTTGTTTTTCTCTTTCTGACTTACTTCACTCTGTATGACAGTCTCTAGGTCCAGCCACAACTCTACAAATGACCCAATTTCGTTCCTTTTTATGATGGAGTAATATTCCATTGTATATGTGTACCACATCTTCTTTATCCATTCCTCTGTTGATGGGCATTTAGGTTGCTTCCATGACCTGACTATTGTAAATATTGCTGCAATGAACATTGGGGTGCATGTAATCACTTTTACATTTTAATGAAATTGCTTGATTCTGCAATATGATCTGTATCTCTCTCCTGAAAGCCACCTCTGCCTCACTTACCTCCAATGTCCAAGAACCCTGAGACTCACTTAGTCTAAAGGGGGGAGGTGATGTGTGCTGATATTATTGGTTACGCTAAGTGCTTTCCATGTACTTAATCAAGCTATGTTTACATAACTAAGAGGGTCCACTATAGTGACTTTTCCTGAGCAAGGAAAGTCTGCTCCAGGCTCTGGTATACATTTTAAATGCCTCTGCGACACCCTATTACCCAAAAGTGTCAGGTGGATTCTACCAACTAATGATGTTATTTATTGAGCTGTTCAACAAGATTCTAGCATGGATTATAAAGGCAGTTTCAATAGCAGTCGTATGATGAATAATTGAAGAACTACCAGTGTTAAACTGAGGGGATCTGGCCCTGCATGACCATAGGCTATGCATGAATCGCTATGTAATGAAAGGGGAGCTCCTGTAAAAATTTACTGTTCCATGGTCTTAGTTCTGAATTGCCTTTCTGTACCTGTACGTCTTACTGCGTCTCCTCTACTCCTGACCGTCTGAGCGAACAAATTTGCTGTTTGATATCTTTCTTCTGCCCCCTGTTCTACCTTCTGACTTGATGTTCCATTTCCCCTCAGATACGGACTATGGTCCTCACCTCTGTCGGACTGTATTTGGCCGTTTCAGGTAAATACCCCTCCTAGGTAAACTGTGAGACCTTTCAACCAGGTTCTATCTCGTGGAGGTAGAACACTTAGCAGGTTTGGTGCTGGAACTAGATACTGGGAAGGCGTGAGCTGACACAGTCCTGCCTTCAAATACCCGGGAGTGGCATTTTTCTTATTCTCTATGGCCCTGAGGGATAGAACAAGGCGTATGGGACATTAAAGGGACAGAGGATAGCTTAAAACAGAAACAAAAGGGTATTTGACAGCAGTCGGAGCAGCCACAGCTACATTTCCTTGCCTCCGCAAGGAACCTGAGCAAAGAGTGGCTAGTCATCACATGGAAACGTCGGCAAAGGGAGTCACGCATCCATGGATCATTTACTAGGAGTCTATATGTTCCTTCATTGCATAGGGTCTCAGATTCTAAACTTTCATGATTCTCTGAGTTAAAAAGAAAAAAGTCAGACATTTGACCCTAAGGAACCATTTGGAGTTAGAACCATTGGGAGGTCACTTGCATATGGCTGCTGCCAAGAAGAAAATCAAACGTTGACATGAGAAGCAATAGAGTTTAAATCTAGGTTGGGAGGGAGGAACCATATCCTCAGAAGGGACCTGGTAAACTGTCTGTGTTTTTCTGTGCCAAATGAAGAAGCTTGGACCTAAAGACTGTCAGCAGTTTTTGCCTTCCCACACTGCTCCTCTATAATAATTAGTTTTACTACTTTTTTCACAAGCTATTACTTTATTTTAATTAGATTGTTCATGCACTCAAGTTGTTTACAAGCACTTTTCTTTTTATAGCATATTGATAAACAGTAGAGGGAAACTACCACCTTGGAGAAAGCCAGGAAGTTTTTACTAGGTAGGCCATGGCCCATCCAGGTGGCTCATTCTACTCTGAACCAGAGACCACCCAGCATCCTGGGACCTCCTTAGAGAGGACTGAATCCCTTCCCCTGGGCAGTGCCTAAGTCACAACCTTATCTTCTGTGGTCATTGCTCCTTCAGTCAAAGAAAGAGAGCAAAGAACCTACTTTCCATATGCCCCTCTGAGAACAACCACCACCGAGTAAATACTAAAGGTTATGGAGAGTTAGTTGTCCACCTCTATTAAAATTTCACATACTTGACATTTCTTTTTTTTTTTTTTTTGACACCCAAATCTCTTTTATTGGGGGGGGGGGTAGGGCGGTTGCGGGGGCCTCTCACTGCACATCTTGTTCATTGGCACTGCTTCCTGAGTCCTGTGGCTTTATCACATCCGGCAGCTCGGGTGGGCTGCAGAAGGGCTCGATGCACAGGGCCTCAAAGGCCTCATCTGCCCTGAAGGCTAGCCCCACAGTGGCTGGGGCCTGAGGCCGTGCTGTCTGGCTGGTGAAGCCACACTCGCCCAATGTCTTTCCGTCGTCCAGAAGCTGGTCGTCCTTGTACAGCCGCTGCTCGTCCGGCGGCCGCTTGAGGATGCCCTCGACGATGCGCTTTAGCTTGAACACAGTGCTCGACTCCTTAGCGTCCGTGGTCTTGGTGGTCTTGTGGCGCCGGATCATGAGGAACATGTCCTGGGGGCGGCGGGCCGGCGTGAGCGCGGAGCCCGGGAGCCCCCTCACGGCCCACCGCCCTCGCCACCCCCGGCCCCGGCCTACTTGGCATTTCTTAATTTTCTGGTTTGTTTCCTGGTTCCACCTCTTACCAGTTGTGTGGCCTTGAAAAAGTAACTTTTCAAATTCTGTTTGCCTATCTGTCAAATGAAGGTAAAGGCACCAAACGGGTAGAGGTCTCCTGAGGATTCAGTGAGTCAGCCTTGGGTGGGCGCTAAGCCCGCGCCAGCGGGAAGTGGCCATCAGTTGTTAGCCGGTTCTCCTCCCTCTTCTACTCTACCCTTTCAGCCTTTTTCTTTTTTTTTTTGCGGTACGCGGGCCTCTCACTGTCGTGGCCCCTCCCGTCGCGGAGCACAGGCTCCGGACGCGCAGGCTCAGCGGCCGTGGCTCACGGGCCCAGCCGCTCCGCGGCACGTGGGATCTTCCCGCACCGGGGCACGAACGGCAGGCGGACTCCCAACCACTGCGCCACCAGGGAAGCCCTCTCTCAGCCCTTTTGACGGGACAAAATTGAGATTCTTTGGTTCCAGGTTTCAGGGCTCTCTCTTACTTCATTTTTGTTCTTAAGCCTATTCTTTACGTTAAGTATGAAAGAGAGAAAGTGAAATAAGTTGAGAAAACAATCTCTAAGGAACTCTCACTATTCGAATAGTCCTACTGGGGCATCTGCAAGACCTCGAGTTCCTTTTCTCTGTGGCTGTTATACTCGTAAAAGTTATGCGCACGTGCTATTTTGAATGTGTCCCTCTTCCCCGCTTCCTGGGGCCCAACCAGCCCACGGGACTTCCTACTGCAGGTGCAGCTCCTCAGACCTGCACAGCTCCTCTGTGCCCAGGCTCAGAGGATTGGCCCCAGGGCAGGAGACAGGGACAGGGCTGTGAGGTTTTGTTATCCCAAGGCCCTGCATGTCTGTCTAAAACCATATTTTGAGGTTTACTTTGAATAAAGCCCAGGACTCCCAAAAGCCCTGCTACTGTGCTCCTAGAGTGCTTCTTTGCTCAGGTATAAACTTGCAATGGAAAAGAAACTGGAGTCACCAACGCAACTCTTTCTTCACAGTAATCCAGCAAAGCTGGGAAATGGGGCTTCGTATAGCAGATCCTAAGGACCCCATCCTTTCTAGGCGATGGGGCTGCTAAATCACCACCAGTGGAGTGTGATTTTTAAATTTTTTTTCACTAAAACTTTAATAGATTAATAGAAAAAGAAAATTTTTCTCCAGGACTTTTCCTATGACCAGGATCTAGAACATAGAAAATAGATTTGGTCTATGTTGAATTGAGATGTTTGCCCTTGACCTCATGCATTGTATTGGTCCGATTAAATATGATAACCGTATATTATTTTTACCATGATTTAAACACCAAACGAATAACTGGCTGCGTAGGTTTTCAAAAGAAGTCTTTGGGCACCATCCAGTGACAATATTTTGGCTACAATGTAAACAAAACCCAAACGGCCCGCTTAAGTTTTCAAAAGAAGTCTCTGGCACCCTCTTGTGGCGCATCACACAACTGGGAAAACAACAGCTTTGGGATAATGCCTCTTGTCTCAGGAATTGTGCAGATATTTGCTCTCCTGTCATAACTGTCAGCGATTCCCTGAAGAAACACAGTGTAGCCAAACTTTTTAATTTGCGTCAATTTGAACTGCAATACAAGATATACCAACAAAGTCCTGCTTTAACTTCAAAAATGGAAATAATGAGAATCACGCCGACATTTTGACATTTGTTAAGAAGCACACAATTTTAAAGCTGGCCTGCCAAAGAAAATGTAAACTATCTTCATGCCATTGTCATGCGCTGGCACCACTCTGACCAGTAAATAGAAGTGCCCACCGTTCTGGTGACCTTACTGAGTGCTTTCTAATCGTTTTATATGTGTTAATAGTTAATTTTCACTAAGAGGTAAGTCTCCCCTATAATCCTCATCTCCAAGGAGGAAACTAAAGCACAGAGAGGCAACTGCCAAAGGCCAATGACTGGTAAGTGCCAGGCCTGGGACGTGAGACACAGGCACGTGCTGGCCCCACTCCTACTTCCTACTACCTCTAACTCTACTAAGACTCGGGGCATGATTTCAGTGACTACTGTCATCCTGTTTTAATCTTCACTGTTTTTATAGCCCTTTAGCAATGTCACCTAAGTACTTGTTAACTAAACACATCTTAGTGTTAGCCCAAAAAGTACCTGAGGAATTCCCCTTCAGATTGATAAAATTTGAAGTGCTGTATAAGCTATATTGATAAAGTGTTGTTTTAACCTCAGAAATGGAAACAAAGGAACTTGCTCCACATTTTCTGCATTTGTTAAGAACCACAAAATTTTAAACCTGGCCAGCCAAGGAACTGGCATAATATCTGTGCCGTTAGTATAGGACAGACTCTATAGGACTTCCCAACTTCAGCACTGTTGACATTTGGGGCCTGATCATTCTTTGTGGTTGAGGGCTTTCCTGTGCATTAAGATATTTAGCAGCATCCCTGGTCTCTACCCAATAGGTGCCAGTTGCAACAGTCAAAATGTCTCCATTTTGGGAGGAGGGCAGCAGAAAGGCTCAAATCTTCCTGAGCTGAGAGCCACTGAGATAGAGTACACTCTGAAAATGTTGATACAAAATGGAGAAAATAAAAGCGTCATTAGAGCTGGTATAACTTTAATTTTCCCAAATGGTCCTGAGGCAGGGAAACAATGAAAAAAATGCCACTGGCCTAGCGGCAAGATCGGCCCCCAGAAAAATGCCACAAATCTATCATGTTTATACGATCTGCAGACTGAGAATGCACCAACCCCCTTACGTTGCATGCTGTGGAAATATCAGTCTTGAGTATGTAAGACTTTCATGATTGCATTGTGTGACTGCATCATAAAATGTCACTGTTCTGGGCTTCCCTGGTGGCGCAGTGCTTGAGAGTCCGCCTGCCGATGCAGGAGACGCGGG